TTGATATTCTTTTTGCAACCTTTCATTTTATTGTTTTGGTCAAAAATTAGTGTTCCGATTGATTTTGTGTTGTTGAATGTTGCGTAATCTTACGTTGAGTTCCGTTTATTTACATGTTGTATATGCGTTCGATTTATCTCCCTTATCTATTAAAAAAGATCATTGTTTTTATAAAGTCGGAAGTTTGAAAAAAAAATTGGCGCATTTGGTATACATTTGCTTGATTGATTGTTGGATTTTTAACATACAGTGGCAAGTATTCATGACAAGATTAGCATTAGATGAAAGATTGAAAAATGATTGGGATGACACAACTTTAATACTTTAATGTTTTCATTTGAAAATTATATCCACACGTCTTTTTGATAATCCAGCACAATGTTCTACAACACAAGAAAATTGCCATCGTGGGTGACGGTACAACGAACCAATGACTCTAAATGTTTTCATTTCTTTTATAACATGTTCTACATACACACGCCTGCTGTTGTGCAGTCTGTTAAATTTCCTCATCCTCTTTTTTTTTTCTTGCATATACCCGAAAAATCTCGGCGGCCTTCTATGGAATGATTAGAGGAGGAGTGATGGGGAAATGCTGTTTCCTAAAATAAAGCACCAAACAAGATTATATGTTGTTATTTCCACTATTTATTTATTTGTTTTAAAAAAATTTTGGGGAATCAGTTCCAGACATATAAAGGTGCACTCGATATATCGTAAAGTAACAGAGGAATTCTGTGTATTTTAATTGAAATCATGAGTGCTATAGCACCAACAAAACTGATAGTCACATAGTTATTAACATGTACTACTTTTTTTTATAAAACTACGTGATTTAAATAGATAGAAACAAATAGGAAATAAAAACAGAAAAAAAATAACGTCATGCCATGAAAGCTCGACGAAAACAATCAACAAGAAAAACAAAACGAATTATAGTTAATACTAATAATATTATGTGTACGATAATAAAAACATAAATAAAAAGAATTAGAATGGCTATGAAAATAAAACAAACCAACAAAAAAAACAATACAGAACATTACAGAACATAATTTTCAATTGAACTGGTTTTTTTTTAACCAAATGATTGGGATGACACAACTTTAATACTTTAATGTTTTCATTTGAAAATTATATCCACACGTCTTTTTGATAATCCAGCACAATGTTCTACAACACAAGAAAATTGCCATCGTGGGTGACGGTTACAACGAACCAATGACTCTAAATGTTTTCATTTCTTTTATAACATGTTCTACATACACACGCCTGCTGTTGTGCAGTCTGTTAAATTTCCTCATCCTCTTTTTTTTTTCTTGCATATACCCGAAAAATCTCGGCGGCCTTCTATGGAATGATTAGAGGAGGAGTGATGGGGAAATGCTGTTTCCTAAAATAAAGCACCAAACAAGATTATATGTTGTTATTTCCACTATTGGAAATTGGAAAAAAAATTGGCGCATTTGGTATACATTTGCTTGATTGATTGTTGGATTTTTAACATACAGTGGCAAGTATTCATGACAAGATTAGCATTAGATGAAAGATTGAAAAATGATTGGGATGACACAACTTTAATACTTTAATGTTTTCATTTGAAAATTATATCCACACGTCTTTTTGATAATCCAGCACAATGTTCTACAACACAAGAAAATTGCCATCGTGGGTGACGGTACAACGAACCAATGACTCTAAATGTTTTCATTTCTTTTATAACATGTTCTACATACACACGCCTGCTGTTGTGCAGTCTGTTAAATTTCCTCATCCTCTTTTTTTCTTGCATATACCCGAAAAATCTCGGCGGCCTTCTATGGAATGATTAGAGGAGGAGTGATGGGGAAATGCTGTTTCCTAAAATAAAGCACCAAACAAGATTATATGTTGTTATTTCCACTATTTATTTATTTGTTTTAAAAAAATTTTGGGGAATCAGTTCCAGACATATAAAGGTGCACTCGATATATCGTAAAGTAACAGAGGAATTCTGTGTATTTTAATTGAAATCATGAGTGCTATAGCACCAACAAAACTGATAGTCACATAGTTATTAACATGTACTACTTTTTTTTATAAAACTACGTGATTTAAATAGATAGAAACAAATAGGAAATAAAAACAGAAAAAAAATAACGTCATGCCATGAAAGCTCGACGAAAACAATCAACAAGAAAAACAAAACGAATTATAGTTAATACTAATAATATTATGTGTACGATAATAAAAACATAAATAAAAAGAATTAGAATGGCTATGAAAATAAAACAAACCAACAAAAAAAACAATACAGAACATTACAGAACATAATTTTCAATTGAACTGGTTTTTTAAAAATATGTATTTCAATATTTCCCTTTATTTATCTTCTTGCCAATTTAGCTAGAAATTACATCAGTAATAATCTTTTTAGGCGAATAAGTGACAATTGGGATTTAAGAGGTTTGGGGCAAGAAAGTTATCCCGAATTCGAGGATGTTTTATTTTCAAATTAAAAACCTTTTCTTTTTAGAGGCGTTCACTCCTAGATTTGATTTACTTCTTTTTTTGCGCAGGGCTTTTAACCTTTGATCTGAGCCAAGCTAAGTTTTCAAAAATGCCCCTCCAATTCCAACAAAAAAATAAGACACTCAGTACAGATCTGATAGTCCTAGCAGTCAATATAATATGTCTATAACTTAAAATGGTTTAAAAAAACCTGCATGTATATTTTATGTAAAAGACATTTAACGGAAATGCACAGCCGATAGTCCAAAATTATTGAATAAATGAGTGGTCCATCTTTTCTAGTTATCTCGACTATCTATCTTGCCCCTCATGTCTGAATTTTGTGCTGAAAATCAAGTTTCATTTAAGAACTTTGTACAAATAGTCCCAAATATGTTTCAAGAATTGCTACATGTCGTTGGTCCGAGGATTACAAAGAACCCCACATGGTACAGACGGACAGATAAATGATTTATTTAACAAAACAAAACAAAAATCTACGATTCATTGCCATACAGAAATGATAAATCACAAGCTTAATCATAGAAATGGTTTACGGCTTTTAGAAAATGTGGCGGTTCGTACTATTCCGTTTTAGACCGTTCTCGTTCATAATAACCCTTACTTATACCGTACCAAACCGCTGTTTATCCGCAGTACATACGTCCCGACACGTGTCGTTGCGTACTTAACCGCGGCATTTCCGTATTGAACCGTGTCTCACCATAAGAACCCGTATAGACTGGTTCCTGATCGCAATATTCAGTATGTTACAAATATACCAACATATTCATTCAAACAGGAAAAACAAGTGTCTAATCTATATAAAAAGCGAGAAACGAGAAACACTTATAAACCAAATCTACAAACGATAACTACTGAACATCAGGTTCATAAACATGTACTACTGTGAATCTCTATGATTTATTTTTATCTGTGCCGCACACAAAAATGTACAACTTGCTGCCACTGTCAGCTGTCTATTTTCAAATTTCAAAACACTAACTAAAGTCTTAACTTATAGAAAGTCAGAGGATGGTGAAAATAAAACATGACCGCTGTTACAATTAGTTTCGCCAAATTATACCAATGCATTTGCAAACACTTTACTCCAGATTTTAAGTACGGAAGTGTACATAATCCGACCCGGCGCACTGTTAAGACCAGATTTTCAGTACGGGAGTGTACACAATCGATATCATTGTTATACACTGTAAATAGCAGATTTTATATTCGCATATGAACAAAGTCTAGTCACTCACTGCTATAAGATAAAAATGTATATCAAATGCGAGTTTGATGATATCATGATTTTCGTTCTCTATCCATCTGTAAAGCATCAGAATAAGATGGCGGTTGATCATCTGGTTGTGGTGGTGGTAAGCTAGGGGGACTACTCAATGGTACCGTTAATGGATATTATGATTGGTGTGTGTATCTATAGTTGGTGGATATGCAATAATTTGAACTTGTGGTTGTGGCGGATGTGTCATGTAGTCAAGTGGTTGGTACGCATGAAGTCTTTGTGGATATTGCTAAGTGCCATAACAATTTGTGTGATGTAGATTGTCTGCAATAGCAGAATTACAAATATGGATTAATTCATTACATTTTCGATAGTGAAATATATATCATTGTATTATCATTTATTTTCATACGGCCTTTTTCATATATTTTTCAAATGTGAACTTATTACAGCGTGATTTTTGTTTGTTTTTTTTTTCTATAATCGCTTTTAGTAGATATACATAATTTATGTTGTATTCATTTTGTTATGAAACACACGTTTTTAGGCCAATAAATTGTAAAAAAGAAGATCAGTGGTACATAAATTAAGATGTTCTGAATTAGTCCAATCGATAATTTACGCATGTCCCATTGTTTCTATAAATGAAAGCGAAATAACGGTAAAGATTTCTACGTTATTTAGAATATTGACAAAAATGCAGAAAGAAGAAAAAATATTTCTACGTTATTATACGCAATTAAAAAATATTGAAAAAGGCACGCGGAAAGGAAGAAAATTGTCAAGATTGATCAAATTGATAGTGAAGTAACACTCTTTTCGTCTAAACTTTTAGGAGGTCGATAATGTCTTAATGATAATATATACAATGAAAGGTTAGAATTCATTTGACTGTCCCTCTGGTATCTTTCGTCCCTCTTTTAGTTATTAATAAGTAGATTGTATTTTACTTATATAAATACAGAACATTATTTGGATGAAAGTATATCAAAATAAAAGGGCTGTAATAAATTTCCTAAGCGGGAGTCACTGCAATTAACCTTTTCTAGAACATTCTAATGGCTTATATGTTTACTTAGATATTTTCATTTGAAAAAAAAGTATTATGGGTATGTCCTGCAAAATAATTGGTTAATATTGCAGAATATGTCGGATGGGAGCAGATTTTTATATTAAGATCATATTGTATGTAGACTATTTAATAAAAAGTACAAGCAAAAATTATGACCGTTCAATCAAATAAAATCAACACAAAAAGAACAAATTTAGGTGAAGAATGTGAGTTTTTTTCATTTATTATTGAATAATATTACATCATTAATATTATTATATATGGGCTAAAACGGAACAGCCAAAACAGCATCGTGTGTATAGGGTTTTCACGGTTGACAAAATTACAGAATTTGCCCTATTAGAATCGAAATAATTCATGGCAGCCGAAGATTTGTTTTCATTTAACCATGGGTTGGTCATTTATATTCATATTTCACCCCTCGCTATCGCTCGTGATAAAATAATAGAATATAAATGCCCAGCCCATGGTTAAATGAAAACAAATCTACAGCTGCCATGAATTATTTCTTAACTATATAAATTATCAATCAATGCTCATTTTTCTATAATATTTGTACTTGCAGATGAAATACGCTAGTGAGGTTTTCAAAAGTTCCATTATTGACCATAGTCACAAAGTTTCCGAACAAATATCTGAAGAAAAAAAATTATGAACAATCCTTAAATGTTATGATTTAACCCAAATTATGCATATACGTATACCATAATAAACAACAGACACATATTAACAAGTCGTTTAATTGCACACCAGCGAATATTAGATTTTAAGTTACTTCTTAAACGAAATTATAATAAACAGCTGCGCCATGAGCGCATGATACGCCCGTCACATTTTCAAAGAGTAAAGATCAATAAAGTTCAATTAATTCTCAATGTCATATTAGAAATTTATGAAAATCAAAAGGGATCTTACAACAATAGATATAAACAATTCACCAAAGTTTCATGAGTATTGCTGACAGCATGTTTGAGTTATTGTCCGAAAACTGGAAAATCCCCCCTTTTTTAATGAATAAAACCCCATAACTCAGAAATGTAACATGTAAAATTTATAAAATTATAAAGGGAGCTTACATCAATAGATATAAACAATTCACCAAAGTTTCATAAGAACTGCATGCTGAAAGCATTTATGAGTTTTTGCCCGAAAACTGGAAAATCCCCCTTTTTTTATGAATAAAACCCTGTAACTCGGAAACGTAAAATCTAAAATTTATAAAAATCAAAAGCGAGCTCATGTCAATAGATATAACCAATTTTCCACAATTTCTTGCAAGTTGATGAAAGCATTCTTGAGTTATTGTCCGAAAATTGGAAAATCCCCCCTTTTTTAATGAATAAAACCCCATAACTCGGAAACGTAAAATCTAAAATTTATAAAAAACGAAAGGGAGCTTACGTCAATATAAACAATTCACCAAAGTTTTATGCAAATTGGTTAAAGCGTTTTTGAGTTAATGTCCGACATGTTGACGACGGACGGACAGACGGACAACGGTATACCATAATACGTCGGGTAAACGGGCGTATAAAAAGTATAAAATGGGTCAATTAGCTTGAAAATATCGTTTCAAAACCCCGTATTACATGTCCCAGTATAAATCCTATTGTTTTGTGTAAGTTCATCCAGATTTTTAATTCCGTTACAGATTATCTTACTATTCGGTCGTTGTCCTCAAATTTGTTTGTATGTCTGACAACAATTTTTTGGAACGCAAAACCTCACAATGTATTTATAGAACGAAGATGAAAGAGTATATTTGTTTGTGCATAATATGTAACATATGTATGATACATGATATTATTTTCTTGAAAATTGGAAAAAATAATTTTAATTGATATAATTTAAAAACTTATTACTAAAAAAATAGAAAGTCAAAGGATGTTAATAAAAGCATGACCATTGTTACAGTTAGTTTTACCAAACACCAGAAGTATGGAAGTGTACAAAATCTTAACTATCGCACTGTAAAAAACAGATTTCCAGCACGGGAGTGCACACATTCGAAAACATTGTTATCCACTTTAACATGATGTTTAAAGAGCAGATTTTCTACACGGGAGTCTACCAAGTCTAGTCAACCATTACTATCGTAAGACGAACATGTATATAAAATACGAGTCTGATGATATCATGACTTTCGTTCTCTATCCATCTGTAAAGCATCAGAATAAGATGGTGATTGTTCATCTGGCTGTGTTGATTGTATGATATGACTACTCAATGGTACCGTTATTGGATTGTTATGATTAGCTTCTTCTTCTTAGTATCAGCCTCCTTTAATTAGGAGCACCTCCAAATATATATGGAGTTTTGCCTTAACTTTAAAATTTAAAAGGATAAAACAAAAATGATCTTTTTCCAACATATGTACAGCACATATAAATAAACAATAAGAGTGTCATGCAAGGCATATTTACATGGACCTTTTTGTTATAAATTAGTCTACATACAAGTAGATTCACTTACATGTATGTATGTATCTCAGTTTTATTTATAATTAAAAATATGTTTCATTTGAATTTGCTTTTTAATATGCATAAAAGATACAATAAAAGGAGGTTTTATTTAGTAAGATCTATGTATTAAAATAATAAGTTAAGATGTAAGAATTTAGTAAAATCTAAAAAGGCAGGTTTTCTCAGTGGAATGTTATATGTACTTCATGATCAATGTATATATAAAAATCAAAATAAAGTAATATAAGCTTGTTTTGTCACCATCAGTAAATTTAAAAGGATATATACATGATCTGGACCCTATCATAAATGTATTAGTGAGTTAGCTTGTGTATTTATAGTTGGTAGATATGCTATATATTGAACTGGTGGTTGTGGCGGAAGTGCCATGTAGTCAAGTGGTGGATACGCATGAACTTCTTGTGGATATTGCTGAGTGCCATAACAATTTTGTGTGATGTAGATTGTCTGCAAAAGCAAAGTTACATACATTGATTAATTCATTCGGTTTCAAAAGTGAAAATATAAATCATAGTGTTATCTTTTCTTTTCACACGGCCTTTTTTATATATATTCATATGCGAACTTAATATTACAGGGGTTTTTTTTGTTGGATTTTTTAGCAATAATTGCTTATAGTTGATACATTATTTATTTTGTATTCATTGTGTTATGAAACGTAAGTTTAATCATGTTGAGGTTCCACAAGAAACTTTGACCGTAAATCTTTTTTATTCCAAATAAAGGTAAGAAATTATTATTAAGCAATTGTAAGAATGAAGATTAGTGGTACATATATTAAAATATGGGAATATCCTGCAAAATAATTGGTTAATATGTCGGAGTAGATTTTTATATTATTTAAAGATAATGTTTTGTACACATACTATTTGATAAAATGAGTAAGAAAAACTTATAACAGTTCAATCAAATATTAACGACAACAAGATTGAAATAAATATATGCAACGAGTATTATTCTATCTTCACAAGGTTACTCATAATCTATTAGATTTTTTATTTTAATTGTTTTACATGTTGTCATGCCGGGGCCTTTTATAGCTTTCTATACGATACGGGTTTTGCTTATTGTTGAAGAGCGGAAGTGACCTATAGTTGCCTACATTTAAGTCATTTAGTCTCGGGTCGTTAGTTTTCTCATTGGAAATCATACAACATCTACTCAGTTTATATACGTTGATTTGTACATGACGTCACATGGATAAAGGAAAATGCTTACGTGAAAGATAGGTTATATTGCATTTGTTACCTAATTCGTCATTACGGAATCTAATGAACTATGGGCAGTTTCATTGTTCGAACCGTAGAATTAAAATAGCATCATGTCATAGGATTGTTTCCATTGTTTAGAGGGATTTTAACCAATCACAAGCTTTTAGAGTACGCTTTTTTTAAATATTACCAAATATGCATTAGATTCTGAAACGGCGAATTAACAAGAATAATCGGATTAGTCTGTACCCACACCACTTGTTATGGTACTCACTGTTGTCCATAACAACTGTCCTCGGTTGTATCCCCTTGACTGCCACTATGTGTCATACAGGCACGTACACAAAAGATAGATATTGCTACTACGGCTAAAATGGCACAAGTTATAATCATTCCATGTATAGCCCCTTCTGACCTGAAAAAAAATAAATGAAAAAAGCCGCACCTGACGTGAAAAACAAACTCAAAGAATTAACTTCCTCCGTTGAAATATATAAACGTTAATAAGGCCCCTCCTAAAAGGAAACACAAATGCTTTCTCTAAGAAAGTGCACCGTTTTATCGGAGGAAAACGCAGGTATGAACTAGTAAATTGTCTACTACCAGTAGGAAACAGCATACAACTATCGTGATTGATTGAATGATTGGTGTTAAAAGCCAATTTCAGCACTCCTGCACTATTTTGTTTTTGTCAGTTTTTATTGGTGGAGGAAGCCGGGGTGTACAACTATCGTGTGGTACGTGTCACAGTGTGTATTTATTTTTAAATATTTTTGTCTTTTTAATTCAGTAATCAATCAAATTGTATTTTCCAAAATTTAACACTATAAGGTATGGAAAGATCATGGATTTAGAATATTTTTATTTGTCATTTGCTCGAACAGAATATTTTTTTTCAATCAAATTGGGGATCAAAACATTTTTGTAGGGAAAATCCATATCCCCCTTGAAGTTAAATGATCGTTCCCTAACATGAACATCAAAGTATTATAAATTTTGGGTTGGAAGTGATTACTATAAATTAATCGAGCTATATATATGATTTGTTAACTAATTTCGAGGTGATTTTTTAACGATTAAAGCTAGTTATAACAATAAGCATATGCAAGTTAGTTGCCAAAATCAGTGAGTCGCAAGAAAAAAAAAGCATAACAACGAGTCATTCCAATGTAATGTTTTAAATAAACTGTTCATAAGTTTTTATATTTACGCCAGACTCAATTCAATGTAATTTTTTTTTTTACTGTTTAATTATTGTATGTACTTTTTTTTCTATTTTGAGTGGCGTGTTGGAGTGAGAGAGGGTAGATAATGTACTTACAATCCGTCATCATCCTTGTGGTCATCATGATCAAAGTAACAGTATACAAGTACATGCGTATCGCGGTCAATGTAACAGTGTTTTAGTGCCGTATCATGGTCCACGTATATGTAAGAGTTTTTTCCTGACGTACCGTGGTCAAGGTAACAGTGATTTGCTGACTTATCGTAGTCAAAGTAACAGTATTCAGCTGAATTAAATTGTAAAACTGAAATGAAGAAGTATATAAGTGTCACTTCGCCAATTCAATATCCTTATATATCTAACTTTTTTCATCGGTCTCTTTACATTTTACCATAAGTTTAACTTCATTAAAGCCATACTACGTATATCCTGAATTGTAAATTATATCTATTTTTTCACATATCAATGTTTAACTAACGTTGAAAAGTCCTCCAGTGAAACATTTTGTACCAGAAAACCCCTTGGTACTACTAAAATTTACATGTTGTGTTTCTGTAAATCTTGATTGGCGTACTATATAGCCTGCGCATTTACCCTAGATTGGGTTGCAAGTTTATGCACAAGTAAATTTGGTCTTAAAATGATAAAAAAAATATTTCTCAATCACAAACCTTTCATTCGTGTAAATTCATTTGCTAGTTTCACACGTTGAAGTAAAAAAAAAATCCAAAAACACTGTTTTTACAGAGTAGAGCTACTTTTACATATGGCCGAAATGTGGTTTGATGAATTGGTGGTGTGCCACCTATAGAAAATGATTCATGTACAGATTACACAAAGAGACTGTTAAAAAACTTTGATTTTTTTTTTCAAAATAACAAGTACAGATATTGACAGTTGTATTATAGAAAATTATGGATTTTTTAAAATGTATTGTAAAACATGATGCGCTGATACATTTGTACCTTCTCATTTTTTAAGAGTGCTTTCCCTCTAGATGTCTTTTGGTTATTTTTGTCACTCGGTTGCTGTCCGATTTTATTGCGCATAACGCATATGTGGTCATCAAATATTCTCGAGATAAAAATAATTGGCATGTCAAATACGTCAAAACTCTGCAGCAAAAAAAAATAATCTGAACCAAAAGGATGCAATCCAGATTATGTTTAAATACAAATATTTAACACTTAAGTTTTTAAATCAAAATGTTTCATATCAAGCTAGAAAGAAAATAAAAACATTAGGTTTGTCTAAAAACACTTAAATGAAATTGAAATTAAATGCTAAATATAGCCAAATATAGATGGCCGTGTGCACCGTAACTATTATACACTTTAAAGTGATGCCAAAACCTCTCTACCTGTCAATGTATATAAGGTATATGTCTAATTCATTAACAGCTTACCATGTACCACAGTCCAAACTAAAATATGAAATAATTGACTATAATCCATAATAACAAACTTTACTAAGTCTAGTCAGTATCGAACATTATTATCAACAATCCTAAACCAATTATATCCGGGTTTTGAAATATCATGTGGTAATGATTTCATTGATACATATACCTGCAAACTGATATTATATATACCATAAACATTTAAAATTCCAAGGTAAGTCACAATGTGAGGGTCGTTTAATTGCGCACCAGTTTTTTGAGATTAGAGTTTTGTGAAATTTTTATATTTTTGTCAAAGGGTCAAAGTAAATATTTTGTCTAAATTTTATGAAAATTAAACGAGCCAAATTAATGTTAGTCAAGGTGTTTGGTACCACCTTAAGTCAGCGAACAACCACACAAAGAAGTACATGTACATGTAGGTTCGGTAAATACCATATTTGGCCTCGAATATTAACTTAATTGTTTCAAGATGATAAAAGTCCCAAGTTGATGACAAAACACCTATGACATTGAAATAGAACTATTGTTTTCAAGCTTTTTTTGTAATGACTAACTATCGCAACGAGACTAAACGATAGTTTGTAGAAGTCACAAAATGATTTCCAAAATCTCTGACTTTTATTCCTTTTAACTTACTATTGTAGCGGGTCTTGGTCTTAATAAAATTCTCAGACTGATTTGAATGTAGTTTATTTCGTTACTTCGTTCACATCAAACCGTAAGAACTACAAAAAACAAATAAAACAATCATAAGAAAAAATTCCATACTATTTGGATTTAGTAATTATATACATAACAAGGCAGGTAAGTTATATCGTTTACAATTACAGTACATGTATAGCGGTGCTAATAAACCTGATCACGAATAACCTGTTGTTCGTTAATAACATGTATGTTTTGTGTTCGTTTCCGTATAAATTCAATAAAGCAACCGTCATTGATCGATAAGTTCAAAGTATCAACAAATCATGGTTGAAATCATAAAATTATACACAAATATCAAATATTTCCCTATAATAATTATAAACCTTCCATGTGTGCTCGATAAAAAATATTCAAGCTTATTTGAATACTTAATCATAAATTAACTAAGTGTTTTCATCTTAAAACCTTGAAATCTTAAAATTGTTCACAAAAATCATTTAACCCTTTCAAACACATAATTTTACAATTTACAATAGTAAAAGAAAGATAACTCTGACCATAAAATGTGCGGGTAAAGGGAGATAATCCACTTTTTAAACAGGGGTTTAATACAATCAAAAGTTTCATAAAACGGAACTTAAAAAAGGTAAAATTACACATAACTTGCATAGATAGTCTAAAAATAATATATATTAAATGTATATTACAATAAACACTAATAAAAATGAAATATCAGGAGTGAATGGGACGTTTACATGTTTGCATTTCACGAGCCGTTATAAACACCATTTATCTAGAAAATACCATTTATTTCATGGTCAGGAACATTTGCACGTTAAACATACATATAAATAATTACCTTGTTCCTCTGACCAAGATGCTAATCGTTATTTATTTAGTTCACATTCTTTCACATGTTCGTTCTTTTTGGATAATAATAAGAGTGGGGAAAGAAACCACTCAAACAACCATAACATTTCGGCCCAAATACCTTTCGTCCCAAAACACTGACATTTACACTCCCCCCAAAATCAAAATTGATTTTTTACACAAAATGAAGTGTTTTGAATAAAATACATGACTTGTATGAAAAAAAAAAAATAATAAAAAATGCAAAAGTATGTACAAATACAAAATGCAAAAATACTACTCTCATTAACCAATACTCTTAGCAAAGGAAGTCTTTTTAAAAAATGATACGGTACATAAAATCTTGGGAAATAAGCTCAAATTAATTTTCAACATGTTCTACAAGCAAGACTAATTTATGCACACTTCTTTCAAGAACAGAAGATGACGCAGAGTCTTTTCTTCCAATTTTCAGTTTTACTCTTCTGACAAGTCCATCATCGTCTGTGTTCACCTCGACAACTTTAGCTAGCGGCCACTGATTGCGAGAAAGGTCAATATCCTTAACGAGAACAATATCGCCTATTTGCATATTACGGCGAGCATTATGCCACTTTTGTCTAAGAGAAATTTGGGCTATGTATTCCTTCTTCCATCTTGCCCAGAATTGTTCTAAAATATACTGAACAAGTCTCCATCGTTTCCTAAGATATAAGTCTTCCTTCACGAAATCACCTGGTGGTGGGTATGGTATATCTGATTTAGATGTGAGAATATGATTTGGAGTAAGAGGCTCAGGTGCCTTTGGATCTTCTATTCCACTAACGGTTAGAGGACGACAATTTACAATCGACATCGCCTCATAAAAGATAGTTCGCAAAGACGAATCATCTAATCTTCCTGGACACAACATCAATACTGAGTTGAGAATATTTCGCACTGTTCGAATTTGTCTTTCCCATACTCCACCAGTGTGGCTTGAACACGGAGCATTCATTACAAAGTCACATTGTCTTTCCACAAGAAATGATGCTATTTTGGCCAATTTTGTCTCCCGTTCAAATTCGTTCTTAGCACCAATGAAATTTGACCCTTGATCTGAGCGGATCTGTCTAACCGTTCCACGGATTGCTATGAATAAAGCAACGTAGAGCATTTATGAAAGCATCAGTTGACATATCGTCAAGCATTTCGATATGAATTGCACGCGAGCACATGCACGTGAGTAAAAGTCCATATCGTTTGAATTCCTTGCGTCCTTGTTTAACCATTAAAGGACCAAAGCAATCCATACCACAATACATAAAGGGGGGCGAAGGCACAACACGGTCTTCAGGCAAGTCTGCCACTCTTTGAGTAGGGCGTCTAAGCTTTCTACAAACAACACACTGACGAATGAATTTCGCAACAACTTTGCCTCCTCCGACAATCCAGTAACCATGTGATCTTAGCTTATTCAAAGTTATCCCTCTTCCTTGATGCTGGGTATTCTGATGAACATGAGCTAGAATCAATTGTGTGATATAGCTATCCTTTGGAAGAATTATCGGATGAATACATTGAGAAGGAAGATCAGCCTTTCTCAAACGACCTCCAACACGTAAAAGTCCATTTTCAAGAATTGGATCAAGCGGATAAAGGTGGTTCGTTGACGATAACGTTGTTGACGATTCAAGAATACGGATTGTGTTGTTAAAGGCGTCCTCCTGGACAAGTTTAAGAATAATCATTTCAGCTCTTTGCCTTTCCTGTACTGAAGGTGATTGTTTTCCTTTAATTCCATTAGACAGTCTTTGTAGCCTAGCCATGACTGAAATTGCTGTGGACCAGCAAGAGAATCTATTTAGTCCTTCCAAGATACTGGGAAAAACATTATCTGATTTTGTACATAGAGTGTTTACATTTATAGATTTAACCTCTGGGTCACCTAATTGCAGATTTGTAACAATGCCTTTTGTTTCAAACTGCCTTTTCCATAGGAATAAAGGACCAGTTAGCCATGTTGTTTTAGAAATGTCAGCTGCATTGAGGCCTCTTGAAGCATAATCAGCAGGATTATTTTCAGATGTCACATAGAACCACAGTTTTGGATCAGTACATTCTCGGATAAGCTGAACACGATTGGCCACAAATACATGAAATCGTCGAGCATCGTTGTTAATATATCCTAATACAACTTGAGAATCTGTCCAAAAGTATTCCTTGTCTATATGCAAATCTAGTCTTTAAGATATGTACACATTTTGACAGATAGCACTGCAGCGGTAAGTTCAAGTCTCGGAATTGTAACTACTTTATGTGGAGTAACTCTTGATTTGGCAATAAGTAATGAGCAATGAACTTCATTTTCACTAACATATCTTATATACGTACATTGTCCATATCCTTGGGTACTTGCATCCGAGAAGTGATGTAGCTCTATTGAGGTTGGTTGACCAAAGTCTGCCGGTTTGAGACAACGAGGAATCTTCACATACTGTAGGTTGGGAATGTCGTCAATCCAACTTTGCCACTCTGAACTCATAGAATTAGGGAGCATATCATCCCATCCTACGCCGTTTTGACACATTCCTTGTAAGATACGTTTTCCTTTCAGCAAGAATGGACAAACAAATCCTAACGGATCAAAAATTGAGGCAACTATTGACAACACATTTCTCCTAGTAGGTAGTGTATTTTGAATTTTAGTTTGAAATGAGAATACATCTTCCTCTACAGACCATTGCACACCAAGTGCTCTTTCAACAGGTAAGTTTTCCAATGCTAAATTCAGGTCCTTGACGCCTGATGCTCGTTCAGAATGCGGTATTGAATCCGTCATTAACAAGTTTTATCGCCTGAGTTTCGGTTTCTACACTAGTTAAACCATCATCTACGTAAAAATCATGCTGAATGAAATGTGAAGCATCAGGGAATTTCACTTCCTGAAGTTTTGCCAAGTATTTCAAGCCGTAATTGGCACAGCCAGGAGATGAAGCGGCACCAAATAAATGTACCTTCATTCGATATTCCAATGGTTCGTTCTCTGAATGAATATTACCGTCCTTCCACCAAAGAAATCGTAGAAAATCTCGGTCTGATTCAGACACTTTAAATTGATGAAACATCTTCTCTATATCACATATGATAGCAACTGGGTATTGTCTAAATCTGCACAAGACAGCACTAAGTCCGTTAATGAGATCTGGTCCTGTAAGCAGATATTGATTAAGTGTTTCGTTTTTGTATTTGGCGGAACAGTCGAACACAACACGCAGTTTATCAGGTTTTTTCGGATGGTAAACCCCATGGTGAGGCAAGTAGCATACATTACCGGAAGTTGTTTCCTGTTGTACGAGTTCTGCATCTCCATTTTCAATTATCTCTCGCATAAATATTTTGTATTGTTCATAGTACTTATGATCATTTGTAAGCCTTCGTTTCAAATGAGCAAGTCGTTGAATTGCTTGAGGCTTATTGTTGGGTAACGTAGGTCTCTCCTTAAAAGGAAGCGGTAATTCCAAGTGTTTGTTATCAAGCTGATGAATACCATTGTCCACAATAGAGAAAAAGCGTATATCATTCTGAGATACTTGTTTACTTAAGTGTCCCTTATCTTGTGCAAAGTGTGACTCTAGTACATTTATAAGGTCTTTAGGTGAGCAAAGCGGCAGCTCCTTCACTGACGTACGGTGTGTGACACCTTTGATTGAAGATCCAT